TGTTCCTTACAAAAATTGAGCCAGATATCCAGTATTTAGTTTCGCAGCATCAGCCTCAGGGATCTCATTAATAATTTAATTAATTAAATGTAATTTCATCAGACTTCATGCTTCTATGTATGCAAAGTATAAATAAAAAGATAGATTTAACTACAGTAAGTTGTTTTATAAAGATTTATTCTGCCAAACTTAGCGAAAGCCCGACATAAAGTATTTGGTAAGTAATTATTATTATATGCTTTAACTTGCTGTAACTCTGCTTTATAAATTTTATAAAGTAAAGTTACTTCCCTACTTTATAAATCACCATTACTGTGGAACCAGTGGGCGGTTAGAAAATTTTACTACTAACAGAGATACAAAAGTGGGCGGTAGGTATAAAAAGGTTGACTACCCCTGATATGGAATATCCTTAAGAAAACAGGAATCCCAGAACATCTCATTATCCTCCTGAGAAATCTATATATAAGATAAGAAACCACAGTTTAGATGCAACATGGCTCCAGGTTGGAAAAGGAGTAAAATTCTCTTCCTATTTATTAAATCTATATACTGAATATACACAAGGGGGGCTGCTTTTAAATTAGGAAGGAATAATTAATAACCCAAATTATGCTAATGATAGCTGAAAATGCACATGATCTAGAAACTCAAGTAAAGGGACACACTGAAAAAATTAAATGTAAAGAATATATTAATGATAACATGCAGCCATTAAATATAGCCTGTAATGTCAGACTAAATATAAAAAACAACTATTCATCAAACTTTTTAGAATTTCTTCAGATAAAATTAAAATGCCCATCTTTAGCTCATAGGGGAACAAGAAGCTGTTTTGATATCTCTGGCTTCAGTCTAGTATTTTTTGTAATAATGAAAAATGTTTCAGCATTTTTATAAATAGGCAGGAAAAATTGTTGCAAACCATGCATGTTATATCAAGATAATTCCATTAACTACTATACCTTATGGCTTCCTCCACAGATTCACTGACTATGTTTGAAGATGCATCAGACTGCAACAAAGGGATTAAATTGATCACCCACTTCACTGGCTTATAGTATTCATCACTGGAACTTAAAAGATAGAATAATGTAGTCAGGAAAATCACCTGCAAAACAGATAGAAGAAAACTTGATTTTTTTAAACTCAAAATTCAGAGTATTATGAAAGAAAAATAAATAAAGGAAAAGCTAAAAAAATAAAGGAAAAGCTAACCTACTTCCAGCAAATAAATAATTTCTAAAACAGTGTCTGAAGCTGTTTTCCCCACACACTGCCTCTCTTCTTTAGATGGAATCTTGGTCAGGGCTGTTCAGAGAGAACAATGAAATAGAATATTTTTGCACCCTATTTCTTTGGACTTTGAAAATACATCTTTCCAACTGATCTTAACTCTCCATTAAGATCAGAGAAGGATAGAGACAATGTAAGCATCTTTAGTTTCTAAACTCATATTTTATTTTTATATATTTATATATTTAAAATATTTATATATTTTTTTCAAAAGCTATTTGATATGGACTGCATTGTGCAATCTATATACTACTAAAACTCTTATGCTTGTTTATTTACACCCTTCCATTGGGCAAAAAGGTGCACCCCAGAACAAGTTTTGAACCAACGTACCTCAACTTACAGAATACATTCAAAATCCAGAACCCATTACTCCCATGAGATAAAAATTGTGGCTGATACAGCACAACTGTGCCTTTTGACTATTCTTCTGAGAAACCACTGACTGTATGGCACAAAGAAAATAGATGGGGCATATCCACACCCCTCTCTCTGGTCCCTGCACCCAATTGGCTTGAGATTTGAAACCTTGCAATAGTGGCGAATATCTGAATATTTGAAAACTTTTAATAGTATTGTCCAGTGAGGGAAGGAGGGAGCCCTTGGAGACATACCGGGATGGAGAATGGGAATGCAATTTTCCTTACGATCAATGGTTCTGTTCACCCACCCGGCAAAGTGGCAGACAGTTCCTTCAGTCAGCCAGGGATAATGATGAGTGATTTCCAAATTCACTGCCTGCTTCTTACAAGCAAAGTCAATGGGGAAGTCAACAGAAAGTCAGAAGTCACTCATTCTCCCTCTGCTTTTTTGACTGCTGTGGTCATTCCTTTATTCCTCCTCTTCCCAGAAAAGTGACAGGCAGTTCCCAAGAGTCGGCTGATTTTCAATGCTCCTTGCCAACTTTCCATAAATAGAGTCACTAGGGAAACCTGCAAGAAGTTGAAAGTTGCTCACATTGCCACTACTTTTTTTTGCCACCCTCAGTCATTCTGTTTCTCTGTTAAGGTAAATAAAGTATCTTTAAAAGGATGAGCCAGGTTTGTCTAGTCACATCTAAAGACTGCAGTAAGGATTAGAATGAATGTCTATCTACGTAGAGAAAAAACAGAACTTCTAGTACAACAGATTCATAGAATTGTAAGGTAACAATATTTATATTGCAGTGGACGAATTTATATCAACCTCACATATTTTTCTGCCTGAGATAAGTAATATAGTGCACTTTTGCATTCCAAGTACAGAAGATGAATGGAATAACAGAGGAATCATATGTGCCAGTCACTCTTTCTCAGCCCAATACATCTCACAGGATTGTTGTGGGGAAAATAGGAGAAGAAAGGTCTATTGGATATGTTTGCCATCTTAAGTTACTTGTAAAAATAATGAAGGCAATACACACACACACTCAAAAGCGTGCAATGTATGAAACTACCCTATTTTTTTTTTTCTCTTAAGTTCTCTGTGTCCTGTCACTAATGCATAATTTTGCAAAATCTCACAACAGAATTTGTGCTGGATATCCAGGTCAAAGGTGCCCACATATTCTGCTCACTGTAAATATCATGTTAAGTCCATACAAATAATGTGGTCATACTTACCAGTGAAAGAACAAAATTCAGAACTGCAGTGCTGCTGTGGAAGAGGATTGTTAGCAAAGTTGTAACTGTGGTAAAAAGAAGGCTAACATTATGACTCATCACTATCCAAAGGGATTCTAAGATCTACAAAAAGATAAAGAATTAGATACATTATCACAGAGCAGGGTTATGGAATAATGAATTTAACTTATAAGAGAACACAGTTTGATTGAATCTAAGCAGAAAAACATTCTGGATGATCAGTTATTGAAATATTTTAACTTATTGAGCAGAAAATTGGATTTACTGTCTTAAGCAGTCTTTCCAATGTTATGAATTTGTAACCTAAAGGCAAAACTAGTAAATCTTTCAATATACAACATTTTACGATAGTGTAGATGTTGTTTCTAGTGTCAGGATCTACATCAGTGGATTTTGCAGTTTCTATTTTAAAATGGTGAATTCATAGATAGATAAAATATCATTACTGAAAACTATTTTTAAATATAATCTAACATATAATTTAATGCTTCCTCCACACCAACACCACACCGGAAGTGATGCCATAGAAAACCCTGCCAAATGTGAAGATGCCAAAAGAGTACTGCTAGTGAAGTTCATGGAGTGTGGTTCGACCATCAATTCAGAAGTCTACTGTGAAACATGAGCCATCCATAACAAGCATCAGGGCATACTGATTTCTGGCATGGTATTGGTTCACAATAATACTTGCCTGCACACTGCTAGATGCACCCAAGAACTTTTGAAGCCGTTCCGTTGGGATGTTGTTGATCACCCCCCCACACACAACCTAGATTTGGCACCGAGCGACTACTACTAAGGAATTTCAAATCTTGTAAGACGTTACGACAAATGCCTCAATTTGAAGGCGATTATGTTGAAAAGTAATCTAACGTTGTAGTTTTCTAAAGTGTGTAATACAAATTCTATATCTGCAAGTATCTGTCATTGATAACCAAACAGAAGTTTATTGCCAAATTGCCCTCATAAGTAGATCATCTCAAGGAATAATTTTCAGTGGTATCATCTTTTTATTTACTGAAAGAAATAATGAGTTCTAGGTGGTTGTATAAAAAGGTAGAATTTCATAAATGCAAAGAGTAGTTCTTGACTTACCACAACTGAGCACAAAATTTCTTTTTTAAGTGAGACAGTTGTTAAGTGAGCTTTACAATCTTTCTTGCCACAGTTGTTAAATGAATCATTGCAGTTGTTAAGTTACTAACATAGCTGTTAAGTGAATCTGGCTCCCCCATTGACTTTGCTTGTTAGAAGGTCACAAAAGATAATCACATGACTGCAGGACACTGCAGTCTTCATAAATATGAGCCAGTTATCAAGCATCTGAATTTTGATCATGTGACTATGGGGATGCTGCAATGGTCATAAATATGAAGAATATCATGTCACTTTTTCAGTGCTGTTGTAACTTTTAACAGTCACTAAATGAATTTGTAAGTTGAGGACTTCCTATATTTGAAATGGGATTCATAACTGGCTACAAAACTATATATGCCATTAAGATATTTTTTAACTCTAAACAGCCACACAGATTTTCTTCTTAATGATCTGTCCCTATACTGGTCTTTCAAGTCATCCAATAGCATATGCATAAATTACAATCTGTTTTAAACATATAAACCTAATCATTATTCATTTAAATTGCAAGTTTATCCCTCTATTTATTTTAAAGAAAGACAATATCTTTTTCTATAACAATTTATCTTTGACCTCAAATTCAAGAGTGGGGTTAGCTTGATTTTGCAAATAGACACAGAATACATCATTTGAAATAGGGATTCTTTCCTTCTCCTATCTTGCTACACATGCTCACAATCTAGACATGTAAAGGAAATAGTCCAGTCTTTTTCAGCTTTGTAAAAAGTGCTAACACATTATAATAAATATACTATAGTTATTCCCATACTGTTTATATTCTTTTTTGTTTTTGCTGCATCTGGCTAAGAGGAATGTATGTAATTATGTGTGACAGAGAATAGCTTGCATATAGAAGGAAGTCAGTACACAGATAGTGTAAAAAAGAATAATGATGGAAGAAATTTACGGTAATGGAGGCTAGGAATTCACAGGATTTAGGAAAAACAGCAGCTGAAGAAAAATAAGTACAGACAGGAAAGCATATACTAAGAATTATAAGAACTATAAGCCAGCATTTCAACATTTTGATGAAGAGCCAGAAATGAATTGCAGATGCTGATTTTAACAAGACCAACCTTTTGAACTATCTATTAATTTGCTTTTATTTTTGTTAAAATGAATGAAATTAGAAATTAGTATTTCCTGTAATCTATCTATATAAATAAAAATGTAAATGTTCGTTTGTTCAAAATCTTAAAACTCCAAAAGTTCTTCACCGATTGCTTTGAAATTTTGACACAACGTTGCATTCGAATATGCGCGTGTTTTTATATACCTACTATTATACAGATGTCACACCTGTGACAGGTAAAAACATGCTTTTTTTGAAAAACAGCGCCATCTGTTGGCTGAGTGAACGAGAGCCACAGCAACGCGTGGCTGAGTACAACTAGTATTTATTATAAAAACCACATACCGAAAGAAATGTTTCAATATTCTCATGAATAAAAGAAGCAACATCCTGCCAATCAAGCATATCACTTGTCCAACTATGTTCACGATTTAAATGCTTTTTGTGACTTTTTTGTTGTCCAGAATGAGTTGTATTCTATAAAACAAAAGTAAAATAATACAAAACATTTCATGTATTGAATTTTACAGGAGAAAAGGAACAAAGTACAAATTTATTTTTCAAATAAAACCTGGATTAGTCTAGATTACAGATCTCAGTAGAAATTATATCACAAAAAGGATGCTTTATGGCATAGTGTCTCTAAGTGATCATTATTGACCCCCCGAATTAACAAGGAGACTGTTATTATTATGATTATTTGTAGTACTATTAAAATAGTATTCATTAAATTATTTTCATATAATAAATGCTTGGGGAATGGATGAACAATCTAAAAATTCATGAAGAAGTTGATGGGTTGGATTTCCACCAAAGATGGCTGCTGCACAATAAGAGTTTATTTTTTCTCTTACCAATGATCTACTGATTTTACTGCCAAAACTTGTTTTTTAGCAGTGCTGCTCCCTGTTTTGAATAGGAACATTTAGGAATAACCCAAGAAGACTTTTGGACAATCATGGACCCAGTTGGGAAGGGGGGGGGTCCTTGAAGATTCCAATTCCGATTGGACATAATCAAAGTCACTGGGCATATACATCTTTCTGTCAGCAGTTTCATTTTCCTAAGCACACCTGGACATTAAGTTTCACTTTTTGAACTTATTGTTTCATTTTGTTTTCTGTTGTAAAAGTTAATTAGTGGTTGAATGCTGATTTATTTCAACTACTTGCTAGGGTTGAACTGTTTTTTTCTTTTTTCTTTTTGATATATGTTCTTCTGATAACCTCTGTCCTCTCTATATGGAAGCAAGGCAGGCATTGGGTGTGTGTGTGAAAAGTCCTTAGATTCTCATCACAGGATTTCTATACTTTTTGAACTGGAAAAATATCTGGAATTTATATCTATTTATTTTTTCTTTTAATCTGGGATTGAAATATAGAGAAACATATAGAAAACATCTCATTTTTGTTCTTTGTTTCTTGATCAAGTTTCACAGACTAAGAAATGGCTGAACATTGGCTGACACCTAAGAAAGAAGGGTGGGGGAGAATGCAGCCCTTACCTGAATTTCTCTTTAAAAAGCTTGATGAGATGATAATGATCCTGAAAAATATGTTGTGGAATGGAAATTAGGCTGTTCTTAAAAGCACAGGGATAGAAAAGGGAACATGGCTTTCTTTGCCTGTTTTCCTAGCCAGGTAAACCAGGCTGAAGATAATTTTTAATAGCTTATTTTAGCACTTTCCTAATAGAATTTAAAATCTTGTCTCTGGTGATAAAAGATATTTGACAGCTACATAAAAGTTTTCTCAATTTCCCTGCAATATTTTCACTATTCTTTCACTTCAATGACACACAAAGACTTTAATACACATATATACACAAAGACAGAAAAAAATCCCAAAGCTCTTAGTTTTACACAACATGGTCAATTTCATCTTAGATCTTAGTTTGGTTCCTGTTCAAAGGTACTTGTGGAAAAGGTTTAGCAATTCTGCACTAAACTGTATAAATAACCCATTTTTTAATTAATTTTTTTCTCAAGAAGCACACAGAGAAGGAGAAAGATCAGTGTTATTATTTTTCTTTTCTTTTCATAAGTACCTTTATTTAGCCAATCCCAGACAGCTCGTTGCAAACTTGCGCCAGCATTCCCCCTGCCATCTGAATGTTGCTGGCTGCTGCTGAAGCTGTTCATGTCCCGAGCCTCTTGCCAATGGGCATGTGCCAAAGGCCAGAAGTGTCAGAGGCATGTTTTATTCCTCCCTTGGGAGGAATGAGCCATGAAGATGTGTCATGGTGCAACGCCCACAACTATGCAGCTTTGGAGAAGCGGCGGAGTTGTAATGGTGGCAGTATAACATCGGTACAGGGCAAGCCATGGATGAAGGCCCGTGGTGGGTCAATTGTGCTGGAAAAGCAGTGTGCTGGAAAAGCCGCAGTGAAATGGGTATGGTTATTTGGCCAGGATGAACTGTCCTAGACCTGTGACAGTGAGACCAAAGCAGAGCTGCAAAAGTGTCAGGGTAAAGGCAGGCAGGGTATGTCAAAATAAAAGCATCTCTATTCAAAAAGTCCTGCCTGCAAATAACTGCCAGATAACATTTTGGCAGTTGTCATATCCGGACCGCTTTAGATGATTTTAGCAATTGTCCTTATCCGTAGTTACAAGGACAATCTGTCAGCAATTCCAGTCTCAAGTTTTTTACGACCTTACATATAAAGAGTAACTTAGCAACTTGGTCACTGTCAGAATCCAGTTATATTTCATTTCTATCTATCTCCTCTGATCTAAAATCAAATCTCACCTTTCCCTGGATTCTGCCATACTTCCAAGGGGGAGGGGGATATGCACGCAGGTTTATTTCTTTCACTTCCTCTATTTGCTACAATGTAACATTTTGTTTATTGACTAGTGTCTGCTATCCATTACAATGTAACAAATTGCCTCCTGCACTATGCATCTCTCTGAACTTTTTTCTCCCTAACCAGGCAGCTAGGAAAAAGGGAGGGGAAGTAGTACAAATCTCTGGAACCTGGCTTATTTCTCCGTTCTCAAAAGGAAGTGTGAAGAGCTGTGGAACATTGCACTATAAACAGAGCTGGATTGATGTTATCTCCCCTTTCCCACGATGGATTTAACACCTGGGGATTGGTCGGTCTGAATCGTCTGGATCAGTGGTTCTCAACCTTCCTTTAATACAGTTCCTCATGTTGTGGTGACCCCCAACCATAAAATTATTTTCGTTGCTACTTCATAACTGTAATTTTGCTACTGTTATGAATCGTAATGTAAATATCTGATATGCAGGATGTATTTTCATTGTTATAAATTGAACATAATTAAAGCATAGTGATTAATCCCAAAAACAATATGTAATTATATATTGTAAAATATTTATTTCTAATTACAAATAAATGAAATTTTGTCTTGAAGCATGGGTAACAGTCTTAATATAACAACAGTAAACTACATTGCTACATTTTGTGACAGTATGCGTAAAAAGCCAACCCACAGGTTGAGAACCGCTGGTTTAATGCATCCAGCAGTAAACTAAAACAGGGGAGGGGGCTGGCTTTGCACGGCATCTAATCCCCTCCCTGCAAAAGAAAAAAAAACGAAGCCTAAAATGATGGCCAATAACTTTAGCAAATAACACAAATAGAGTCAGCAGGATCCTGTCTCGGACGGAGACCAACTGGGTTAATGTGAAAGAGTTTTTACCAGAGAATCCTCAAGGATAAAGAGATTCTGCCTTAGGTATAGGTCTCCAGGTGGGATAGATTTGGCTGGGGGGGGTGTGTGGAGAGGGAATTTCAACAAAAGCCTCCCAATCTTAAACCCTCAGACCTCTCCAAAGGGTTTTTTCCTGAAACTCATGAGATCTTTTTCTCATTTTACATTCTCTTCCTGATGGAAAGAAACTATTTTCTAAAATAAGCAGGCTTGTTTTTTCTCTCCAGAAAAAGTAAGGTGGAGAGAGCCTGGACTGGAAAAAACAAGGGGGATCACAGTCTGAATCTGGCAGAAGTCTGGGTATGCTGCCTTCTTTTGACAACCCCCCTCCCCTCTTTTGCATATTGGAGCCTTTGAAAAGCATTTTGAGCAAATAAAACAAGCCGCTGTCCAACTTTTCTCCCCCACCTTCTGTTAGGGGGCATCAAATTCACCCGATCTTCTCCTCTTGAATATTATTTCTCTTGCGTTCCTAAACGGGCTCTTCCCATGATTTACTTCTTACTTTTTTTTAATATGCCATTTATTTGTTGATATTTGAAGGTAATAAATCCGGGAGGTTAAAAAGTTTGAGGAAACTATTAAACGACCAAGCCTTTGCCTATTTAATAAGGGATTGAAAAACCCGGACACCCGACCCTCCGGGGCTTTTTCCTTGCCATCTGCTTGAGCAGAAAACCAGCTGAACCTCTCCGGTGGGTCTTTCCCTTCTTCCTAGGACTCCCCCAATCAGCTCTCCCCTCCCCCGGCTCAGAAAAGCCGAAGAAACGCAGAAAGATTCCCCGCCTGGGAAGGACTTTAAAAAAAAAAAAAAAAAAAGTGCCCCAGCAACAACTATTGGCTTGAAGATCCCCCGGCTGCTATTTTTAAAAAGCCAAGAAGAGGGAAAGAAAAGGGGGAAAAAGAGACTAGGACTTTTTTTTTTTGCACTAAAAAAAGAGGGAGACGGAAGGGGGGAAAAAAGGGAAATTCTCCCCAGCAGCTGGCTGGTCTGGCGGCGGTGCTGGTAATGGAGCAAAGGGGAATCGGGACCCTGTACAAAGCTCTCCAGCCTTCCCGGGCTTCAGTCTGGGGGTCCCTTTCCTTTGCAAGTTGCAAAGGAAAGGAGGGGAGGGGGAAAAAAGTCGGAGTTCGGGAGGCCCCGCCTCTTTCTTTTCAGCCCGGCTGGCTGGCTGGGCTTACTCGCTGGCTGAGGCTCGCTGACTCTTCCTCTCCCAGCCCCCGCCGCCTTTGCTTTCATGACGTCGCCACCTTTGATTTGAGTGCTTTTCAAAAATCGGGCTCGAGCCGCACCAATCGGTTCCTAAGACCATCGGAAATATGTGTTTTCCGATGGTCTTAGGTGACCCCTGTGACAGGGTTGTTCGACCCCCAAAGGGGTCGCAACCCACAGGTTAAGAACCGCTGGTCTGGATGAACTGTGGGGTAGGGTTTGCTTAGGCACACTTTAAAGTAATCGATCTGTAAAGAAATCCCTCAGATCCTGTCTATTATGCCTGCTATCAACGACTCTTAATAAAAGTTCCTGTTGGAAAAAATTGTTTCCAAGAATTCTGCTTCCTTAAGATGTGGGATTGGAGTGGGTCCTTACATTAGACAGGATCTGAAGTAATAGTCAACCTGGAAGGAAGAATCTTACCGGGGGATTTTGCAAAAAATACAATCTCGGTCGATCGAGGAAAGGAAAGGAGAAACCCCCGTAGAAAGGGAGCCTTCCCCTCGACTGGGATCCTGCCAGCTATCAGGATCCAAGTCGTCATACTCCTCAGGAGAGGAAGTGGTGAAAACGCGTGACCCC